ATCGAAGTGAAGTAAGCTCACATGGACTATTACGGAATTACGCGGAGTTTGACATAAAAATGACATTGTAAAAGCATGTGGGTCGGCATTGAAGGTGAGAGCTGATGCCAAAGCATATGAAGATTCTTTCGCCCCATTATTTTATCTAAAGCTCGAGTTTCTGTACCTTCTAACGTGCGAACAAAACCAATTGTGACAGCAATGACATATAAATTCTCAAGCGCAATGGATTTCGAAAAACGTTGGATTAAAGAAACTCATTCCGTCACGAATTCTACATTTCAGTGGCAAGTGTGAAACATCACAGTTGGTTTCCAAGCACATCAGAAGACTTCTGCTCGAAATGAGCAAATACTTGTTCATTATAAAAGGTTCCCATTCTAGAGTAGATTAGGTATGTTCGGTTCTTCATGCTTTTTTTTAGAATTTTTACAGTTGCTTTTACGCGGCAAAACCTAAAGAACCTGAACGGTTTAGCGGGCATACAAAGCATGTGAACTATACTGCATATGCTTTCTTTGAACTGAACGAAAATTTAAATTCAGTGTCACAGATTCCGGGAAAGCAGAAGTAACATTCAAATTAAAAAAAAAAACCCCCGAATTACTAACTGCAATTACAGTACAAAAGCATAAAATGTTTTTTAATCTCAAGTAACGCATGTAAAAACAATCTCTGTAGTTGATCATGACTTCAATGAACATGAGAAAATATACAAACATTCAAGCCCTCTAGAGGGCGGAGAGATCACAAAAATGACTCGATCACTGCGGCGGAAATTTTTTCCACACGTTCACCGTCTCGCCCGCTTCCCTGAAATTACGGCATCGCGGACCGAAGCGCGCGCCAAGAATTCTTCCCACTTCGATCGCAACTTCTGGATCATTTCTCCATAGCTTTGCTTTGATCCTTCGGTCAACATCGTCATTTCTTCGGCCATATCAGCAAAGCCCCTCTGCACATTTTCCTGGAATAGTAACGTTTGGTGATCGAAAGTAAAAATCGATGGCCTTTTAAGAAGTCCCAAACGTACCTTGATTCGCTGCAATAAATGTGCAGAAAATTCTTTCCTTTCTCGCTTTCTCTGCTCAATGACGCCAGACAACTGCTCAATGAAGGTAACAGCTTCTGCACGCTTCACGTTCATTTTCTGCGAAGCGATCACAAGCTTTTCTATTTGGGCGCATAATTCGCAACTTTCTATCCGCAACGATGCAGCAGCATTTTTTGCTGCCAGGAAATCATCAGTGGCTTTCCGAATGTTCGCTTTCCATTGCTCTCTCATTGTTTGCTGACTTTGTTTCATATTCGTGGCATTCGACAAGTCGATTGTTAATTCTGTCTTAGCAACCGAGAGCTGCTTCTCCTGCGATGCAATCTCTGTTTTCAAAGCGTCAATCGACAACGCGAGCGACTGTTTTTCAGCATGTGCTGACTGGGCAGTCGATTTAAGGTTTTTGCCCACAGTACGTGACCATTCCACAATCGAAGCTTGATCGAGAGACGCTGAATTTGCACCGAATTCTTTTATGCCTTTCGTTCCGAATCGAAGGAGATTTTCGGAGTTGAAAGTTCGAGCTTGAGAATCGAAACTAGAACGCAAGGCAGCCAGCTCGGCTTTTTTCCCTTCTCGAAGACTGCGCATATGATCCAAGCTTTTCTCCAGGGAGTTGATTTTCAACTTGAGATTTTTCCGATCACCACGAAGCTCTTCTGCAGCCATGTAGGACATGGGTTGGTTGGCAATTTGCAACCGCAATTTCGCGTTCACTTCCTGAGAATGCGCGAGCTTTGAACTTATGTTGTCAAGACGACTTTTAACGCCATCGTTTGTTTCGCACAGTGACTCGATTTGTGCGGCGATGTTCAAGATTTTCTCTTCACACTCGTCCCGGCTCGTGACCATTTCTTCCACGGAAGCAGAAGTCTGCTTGTATCTTTCACATGCAACATGAAATAATTCATTTTGGGCTTCAAGTTGTCGTTCCAACTCGCAACTCTCCTTCTCGATTTGTTCTGGATCCACATCGTCGATGTTGTAGAATTTTTCTGCGAAAGGTAAAATTTCCTCTTCCAAAAACGATTTCACAAAAAATTCAAAGTTAGAATATACCGATGGCAACTTGTGCTCGTTCTTTGATCCTGTTGATGTCTTCCTCTTCGGACCCATGTGCGGCCGAAACGAACTCGCAGTAGTCTGGATTGATCACTTCAGCAAGGACAGCACTCTGAAAAAAAAATAGTGATTGAAATAAGTTCAGCAAAACATCTAACAACAAAACGCTGACAGCGCAAAAAACTTTCCTCGCTGAATTGCTGAACGACGTCGAGGGAAAGTATCAATTCTCAATGATTAGTTTGCTCAATACTACCGCAGTCCAATTCGTAATGAAGAAAAAGTCCTCACCTGGAAAGCTTGTGCATCTTCCGCAACAGGATCTCCCGTATTCCGAAAAATTAAAGACATATGATCCTCTTCCACACTGTCGAGCTGCGAAATAGTTTCCAGGAGGAAATCTATTGTTGCGATGACTTGCGGCCACGATCTCTTCTGCAGTACTACCAAGGACGACTTTGGTAAAGTTGCACTGTAGCCAAGCATTCGGAGTATTCTCAAAATATCGTCTTCAGAAACCTTCACTCCTCCCGGGGCAAAATTCGGGTCCAGCCTCTGAGCAAGAACCACGAATACTTCCAGGAACTGCTGCTTAGATGCTTGGGACGTGCGAAATTCCCTTGGAACACGGTAATCGTGGCCTTCATTTAAAAAATACATGTCTATTCGATCAGACACTGCAGCTGGGTAAGATGGATCATTCGTCGGGCGATTGGAAAACGCACTACCAGGACTTTTCGTCGCACTGAAAGCAAGGACAATCGAACGCGTACACGAGTTTTCGCCTTCGCTCTTCAATAAAATTTTTATCGTACCTCATGGTATATCGCGTACTTCTCGATGAAGCACTCAGGGGTGTAGCACACACGCCCGTCGGGCGGGATGCTTTCAAATTTCGCAAGGCATTCGGCGGGCACACAGAGTTACGCATAGGCATTGCAGCTACGCTCTTTTTCCGATCGGAGCCTTCATTACTTCGACTCCGTCGGCGATTCAGTTGAGGAATCAGGCTTCGCTTATTGTTGTCCGTACTAGCACTCCTCCTGAGGCAGGCATAACAATAAAACACTGAATTTCGAAACGTGCAAAAAGTTTTCAAATTACTCACTGTCGATACATGCTGCCAGGAGTTTATCTTGTACCGAAGAAGAATGTATTATCTGGTCCCACCATTAACCGCACCTTCCGTAATTCAAATCGTCAGCACTGCTATACCGACAGGCTCATTCAAAATCCGCGCCAGTCGATTACCTTCCAACTTTTCAAGCCGGAGAGCGTTCAAACAATGCTTATACATATACGCAAGCTTCAGATCCTCCAAATCTCACACCACGCCTGATCATCACATCCGAGAAAAATTTCCGTTGTCACGAAAACTCAACACGCGCGCGAGGGAGTTTTTGAATGATGGCGCACACTTCGGGCAGCATTGAGAGCGTTAACGTACGATGGTTGAAGTGAACGTGAAACCTCCGGGTCGCTCCTGATCCTTCACGCTTACCTGTTACAGTACAGTACAGTATGGTATACAAATGCATTGCACCTGTACCGTAAATATTTTGTCTGGCACAGTATTTAACATCGATTCTTGTTTGCCACTTGAACAACCAAAGTAAGCGTTGCATAAATAATTCCATAGCACACCATAATTATAAAAACAATTCTCGATAATTTGGTGACCTAACTTACAACTTTTAGAGGCGGGGATGTGACAAAATACAGTATAGTGCATTACTGAACCGCGCTAATTATTCCCCCTGACCGGCAAGTGCGCGTCGCTGACAGCATTTTCCGTTACAGCAGCGTATCTACCCTTCAATAAATGGACTACTTGAGTCTTCTTGAAAATACAATAATAATTAAATTCGGAAATAAGTCATCATAAATGAATCCAGAGTGAATTTGGATACACCAGCAGCATCCATCAGTGATACCTCTCCTATATATAATCAACCTTATAATTAATTATTTAGCACTTCTGTTTATAACAAGCTGACGATGTGTGACAGTGCAGCATGCTAATGCAAATGAGCTAGTTTTTGTTATCTGCTGACCGTTTCCCCGGTTCAAAATACAGTAGTTTAATAATCATGCATAGCTGTTCAGTAGGGTAGTGTGATTCAATACTGCATGCAGCCAAACCGTCTTTCTGGTTTGAGATGAATTTTTCAGCTCTCACGGATCCAGGAATGGAAAAAGTGACGTAATTCTCTTCTTACAATTGATATGCATATCATCCCGCACCAGATGAGCATGCTGGCTTGCATGCTGGTCGTGATGTACGTACATCAGCAGTATACGGCTGAGAAAATCGTACACATGATATTTAATGGCTGTTATTGCAGGATGAGACAAACATTTCTTCTCCCATGCACTCATTAAACAGATGAGCGCGGTGAGTCGCAGTTGATTTAATCTGATTTTACTTCAAGTATTTTGTGTGCTTCAATAAGGGAAAATAATGTATATACAGTACAAGAAGAAACAAAAAGCTACATGTGAAATTCCCTTACACATTATACACAAAAAATCCCAACAGAAAAAATGATTTGTTATATAAGAACATGTTTTGAAGGTCCTAACTTCTGAGAGAAACACGTCCATCTTCACAAAGATGAAAAGCGTACAGCTGTGAAATATTTTAAAGATCCATACATCAATAGTTACTGTACGGTATTTATTAAAACAATTTACTGCTTGTCTGGTTTAAAAATGTATTAGCTCAGCAAAAAAGAGAAAAGCAACAAAAAAATGTACTGTACCCCGATGGATGCAAAAATAGAAGCGGAGTGACTGTGATTAGGAAAATACTGTATGTATACCCGAAGTTCAGCATCCCATAAATTAATTTAACCAGAAGCTTTTGAAGCCCATGAAGTTTACCGACAATGAATTCCTTAAATTGCCATTTTCACAGTAAAATACTAATGCACTTTTCCCAACTAAAAAACTGTACAAGTAAATTTTTATGTATCCCTCTGACGAGTTTGACTTAAGGAGGTCCAACTGTACTTGGAACTCTTTTTGACAATGAAGTTTGTTTCATCAATGCTTATAGTCATTCATTTAATTTCAAGAATTCACCAAAACTGCATTATTAATAAGATCTCCCTCTTTTATGTATATAACACAAACTTTCTCACCACACTAGTTCAAAAGCCATTCGCAACTAACGCAAGGTTAATGACACAAACTCAACAGCAACAGGTCCTCATCATAAGGTTTACCAGCAAAGATTCTCGGAATGATTGCCGGAAATATGCGTAATTCTCCAGAAGTGAATATGAATTAAACCTCACCCAAACCAAGTTAGTCCAAAAGTGGTGTCATGGGCTTTAATGGTCGGGGCACATTCTCACATGATTCCCATGAATCCTGACAACGATTATCCATCCCAGAAATCTCTGCGTATCGATTTTCCAAATAAAAACATACTTGAAGGTTCTGACAACAACCAAAAATATTCTTTCAGTTCTAAATCGTCTCCAAAATGTCATGCACCCGTTGGAGTCACAAAAATGATGAACATGTTGACCTCCAGCAGGGTGGAGATGAATCAGGAAGCCAACTATATATAAGAAGTATTTTTGTAGTTTCGGGACTCAAAAAAAGACGTAAAACAGAGTCAACACTGAAAAACTCAGTTAAAATTTTTTCAAAATGAGCTTGTCCGGATAATAATTAAGCATCATATTACTTTAGAAATTAAAATGGCTAATTTATGGCTGTTTTTTTCGTTTAAAGATGAAGTTTTGAATGAAGGTTCCTCCATGAAGAACAATTCGGATTGTTTTCATACCATGCGAATTGCCTGTATAAGTTTTCAATGTCCATCATTGTGTAACAAAAAGATCCTATATCTGAGTAACTTATCTTCTAGAATCTAGATGATTAGAAATGCTCGAATGGATGCATACGTTTATTTCCGCAGTGCCGCCCCAAGTGTGGATGAAAGACAAATAAGCTGTGCTTTATAATGAGGTGCTAGAGATGTTACTGGATAGGTTAAAATAAGCTGAGAAACTGGATTGAAATGATAATGAACTTTGAAAATGGGAAACCTGTGGTACTATATATACAGTATGTATAGGAATATAAAAATCGGAGGCTTCAAAGCCACCCACTTTTTTAACGAACGAGACGCATCAGGGTCGACTGCAATACAAAACTTCCTCATTCCCCTTGGATTCTATCATCGACATTCTCCTCTATCTCTTATCCATCCATAGGCTTTCTTCCTCCTGCCAGGGGATTTATGACTTGCTGCCCAGAAGAATAAAAGAACAAGAAGTGGATTCACTTAACCTCTCAGTGCTTCAAGTGACTCCGCCAGACCCAGTTGATTTGTGCCTTTTTTAATCAATCAAAAGTGATACACTGTATTTATACTCACCCACAAAAAGTGTGTATTTCAGGAATCTACGAAGAAAAAAATCCTGCCATTAAAAAAGGCAAAGTGAACAAATGCAAAATGAAAAGATAGTTCTCCTGGAATTATTCAAGAAGAAAAATGTTCAAAAAATGAAGATAATATTTTTGGACATCCTTGTACTGTACATGTGAAATATGTCACCCCTCTTGATGGCAAAAATACCAGAAGGGAAAAATGTCTTGTCACTGTTTGTGAAACAGATAAAAACTGGAGACAGTTTTTATCTCTTCAAAGCATGGAAATGTGCGCATTTCAGCTACTTCATTAAGTTTTAAAAATTTCATCTGGACGTTATAAAAAATAAAAAACAATTCTACGCAACAGACGAATTAAGTAGATCAACAATTTTAAAGCATGAGAACATCAATATATTCAACAGAAATACTCTAATTATTGTCTCTCGTGAAAAATTTTGCCATGTTCAACTTACCAAATGCAAGCATTTGTGTATGGTTTTATAAGAGAAAAAACGTCAATCCATGCTTTATTTTTGGACATTAAAATGCCAAAAATCATACCTTCTCATTTCCGTCGGAAAACTTGGCAATAGCAACGGTGGCTTCTGGATTTTCAAATGTTATTCTCGATGCCTTTCTCTCCTAAAAAATGAGAATCCATGCTTCACAACTAGCTGATATAGAGAGGGAGTTTCCAGGTGGCCAGAACAAAAATTTCACTTTTCTTTCCTTACGAGCAGCATTTACTGCTCTGTATAGATTCTGTTGACTGTCAAAAATAGAATTCATTTTATAGTTTTTTCAACTTGCTTTTGACAAAATATTAAATTTTCATTTGAATATAACTTGTTGAAATGCACATATTTTTATGGATCAGGTACAGAGACAGAATAATCCTACATATCATGCTGTGTGTGACATACGCAAAATAATACAGCATCATCTCTTGCTTCCAAAATACAGGCTTAAGATTTGTTTGAGTGAACCTTAGGCATTCAGTTATGAACCACAAGCAATTGGTGAGTGTCTTTGTCATTTTTATTCCCACAAACCTCCGCCCTGCATATGATAGAATAACCTTACAGTATTTTCTCAAGTATCATGTGTCTTTGAGTAAAGTTTAAACCTTTATTTTTTACGTTGAATTCATCCAGTTCTTTTCGGCTGAAAATCGAGAGAAAACACTTTGCCAGCAATAATTTGTGACAAAATAATCTCGTAATTGAAGAAAATAACATGAAGCATTTTGACAGGATTGGCCGATTGGGGCTCGCAGATTTTCTGGTTTACTATTTCAACCCCTGCACATACCCGCCTAATAACTTGAACCATGTGATTGCATAGTTAGTTGTTTTTCTTTCAATAATTCATAACCATGCACTGGACCACACTTTTCTGTCTTGATTTTAAGAAGGCGTGCACATGGTACAGTTGGACCACGCGCCAAGTTATGAACCTCCTTAATTCAAAAACCTTCCTGTGCCAAATTTTTGTTTAGTCCAGTCATAATTCCCTGTAATAAAATGCGAATAAACCTTGATCACTCAAAAACTTTTCCCTCAAACCTTTTAGCTCAAATTTTGCGAAGCCTATGCTCTAATTATTTTGGGATCCCACTGTAGGAAATAGAAAAGCAATAAAAACATAACCTGAAGTTTTGCAAAAGGAAGAGAGAGAAATCGGGGAAATGTAAACTTTCCTCCGAGTTGAGCCAAAATCCGCGGTTGATTCATTTAAGCCCAGAATATAAAAATGTTTACCTTCCTGTAATATTTTTCTCAGCAAAAATGCTGGTTCTGTACCTCAAAAACGTCTCAATAATCGCTTTTGTGGGTCGATATATTCGTCCAGCTTATTGAATATTGGTTCGATTGTACAGTATACTTGATTAAATATGGTACGATTCATCATCTCCAATTTGCAGGTTTTCATTCACTTTACTCTATTTTGATGAAAACTCGAAAGAACGGCCATCCTTATGATGCCGTAGGATTATTTT